CCCTGCACAGGGGAGAAGCCCGCAACCTGGGCATGTGCCCTGACAGGGAATCGAACCGCAACCTCCTGGTTCACAGGTCAACACTCAACCACCAAGCCATGCTAGCTGGGCTAGAGTTCACATTCTTAATCAACAAGCTATATTGCCTTTCTAAGATTAGCAGGCATTGTCGCTATTGTTATTGTTGATACTATTATTGGTAGAGTTGACAGATTTAGGAAATAAAAAATGCCCAGGTAAATTTGAAGTTCAGATAAGCAATAAATAATTTATGCATATATATCCCAATAAGTATGCTCCAAGCAATATCTGAGGCATACTTCTACTAAAAAAGGTACTTGTTATTTATCTGAAATTCAAGCTTAATCAGGCATCCTGTATTTTACTGGCAACCCTAAATTGGCAGCACAAGGATCTCCTGCAGGACTGAGAGGTGTTCAAGAGCCTATGGTCCCTCATAAATTAGATTCTGTGATTCTTTAAGTACTAAAAACTCTATCTCTCTTCGTTGATTTTTAAAAATATATTTTTATTGATTTTAGACAGGAAGGGAGAAGGAGAGATAGAAACATCAATGAAGAGAAAATCATTGACCGGCTGCCTCCTGCATGTCCCACACTGGGGATCGAGCCCACAACCCAGGCATATGCCCTGACTGGGAATCGAACCATGAGCTCCTGGCTCATAGGTTGAGGCTCAACCATTGAGCTAAGTTGGCCGAGCTGTTGACTTTTTTACCACATGTATCTTTACCACATGGTAGGGACCAAATCAAAACTGAATAAATGAGGCTTGGCCCTCATTCTGATTCTCAAAATATAGTAATTCTTACAATTTTCAAGAAATAGAGCCCTGCTATGACCATCCTCGTTTCAGAAGAAGAGGATGTCTGGCTACATTTATCTCCAGGTGAAAACGAACTTGGGCAGGTAAGGCGTTTCCATGGAGAAGGGTGCTCCTTCCCTTGGTTGTGAAGGGAATGCCGTGACTGCCACCGGTCCTGGACCAACTGGTCACTGCATGCGGAGAAGAAAGAGCTACCCAAGGACATAAGCCAAAGAAAACACCTGCTCGGCAATCCCTTCCTGCCCACTGAGCCCTTGGTTATCAAATACATATGGGTTGGGTTGCATAAGAGCTCCTATAGGAGCCAACATTTTTTACTGTGAATAACCTGCTATTTAAAGAGATATATTGTAGAGTCTTGACTCAGTCAGCTACATAAATTCTGATTAAGGCCTGGGAAGGAGACACTCAGAGAAAAAACTTCTTTCAGACGACTCTAGGCCAAGCCTGAATCAATGACTGAGGTTGAAAGAGCGAAAATTGTAGCTGTTCCCTAAATTTCCCATAAATAATGGGGCTGCCATATTATTTAGGAGGAGTCCCGGAAAATACAGTTTAGTTTGAAACAGAAGAATTGAGACAAGAGAATTTAACTTGGATTTAAAGGAAACAAACTTATTTTAGTTATTTTAGGTGAGAGTTTGGCCTCATTGTTTATCTAACTGCCTGCCTTTTTTCCCACCTGGCTGGGTCTGCAGACACCTCAGCACTTCCCTGAGCACACGGGCCTCCTACTGAGTTGGGTCCCTTCTCTAGACTCAAATACTCCCTCCCACTCCCTACTACATAATTCAGGTGTGCCTTTGGAAAAAGCCATGTCCATCATTGTCTCTAACACATAATCTTTGGCAATGAAGGTGTGGCCCAAGGTTAATTTTGAAAATGTATGGGGCTACCAGGCTATGATACAAAACCAAACCAAAAACAAACAAACAAAAAAAAACCCCACCAACCAACCAACCAAACAAAAACCCAGAAATCGATAACACAAATGCCATCTTATTTAATAGATTTTGCAAGATGAAAGGACCCAGCAGATCTTGGTTCTCAAATGCTTGTTGGGGATCTTTGAGTTTACAGTGATCTGCAGCAAGAATGACAAAGAGAGAAACAAAATGCCCTGAATTTTTCATAAAGCTCAATTTATTCAATGTAAAAGACTGTCCTTTATTCTTCGATTGTTTCCTTTCTATTTTGGGAGTGTTAAAAATATTCTTTCTTTTATGAAATGTGATGGTAGTGAAGCTTCTGTAAGTTTGTTTTTAATGGTCTTATTAAACAAAGATAAAGTTTAACTTAAGAAAAAAATTCCAATAACCAATGAATTCCCCCAAACCACCCACACCAACCTAATGGGTTTCCCTGATTTTATCTCTAAGGTGGGGGGCGGGAGGGGGGTAGCTGAGGCCAACTTGCCTGAAGACATATGTGGAGAAGGTCAAGCTGGAACTTGATCCCTGGCTCCAGCCGCCAGACCAACCTTCCTCACTGCAGCGTGGTGCCCCCACCCCCAACGTGACTGACTGCCAAGGACCAAACCTCATTCAGAACAACTGCACTGCCTTCAGCTCCGGTTGGTCTGGCACAAACATCTCACCCCCTAATTCAAGGGCTGAAGATGCCAAACACACTTGACTGTGGTCTTTGAGCGAAAACAAGTTTGGAGAAAGCTGGACCAAATGGGCAGGGAGTGCTTTTGCACAGAACCGTTGTCGTCAGCCAAGTGGCTACAAATGATGCCAGGCATAAGCGCAAATACTGCAATGTTTTCCTCAGAGATTTTCGAGTGGAATTGTAAGGAGTGTGGCGACATCCAGGAAAAATGGATGGTTAATCAAACCTTCCTTGTCTTAGGATACATAGCTGAAAAATATGTGTGTGTGTGTGTGTGTGTGTGTGTGTGTGTGCGCGCGTTTATTGGTAAACCATGGTAGCATTTTCTAAGTAGATATTTTTCTGATGTAGAAAAAGAAATGAGCATTCAGGCTGAATGCATTAATAACGGATTGTTCCAAATGCTGACCTTCAAAACAAGACAATGTGCTGGTATTAAATGTAGAAGAGGTCAAATGAGCAATGTTATAATTTCATGTAAAATTGAATCTTTCTTCCCTTAACTACTAAGCTTAGGAGAGAGAGGGGGGAAAACACTTTGACTTAAAATAATGCTACTCTATCATAATAATATTCTCTGAGCACTGAACTGATAAAGAAGGCTTTTATCACTTATCAGAGGAAAAGATTTGCAGCTCCACCCTTGGCATTATTTTCGTAAACATCCAACAGACCCATCAAGCTTTCTCAAAGCCGAGAGCTGCCCTGTGCTATTGACGAAAGCACATTGATGCTGAGTTTCTCATTTATCGAGTGGGCAGATTTCTAAGACACGAAGTCATTAGTGGTCAACTAACTCATTTCCTTGGTAAAGTACACGATTAGTCAGTCATTGATTCAAAGGCATTAATTCAGAGGCAAGTAATCAGCCCCCTCTGTGTGAGTCACTTAAAAATTCTGCTGTCTGAATATAAAAAGTCTTAATTGTCAACAAATTTTCAATGAACACGTAATACGTTGCACCATACCAAGAATTATGCAGGAAACTAAAACACACAATGCAAGAGGATCCCATTTCTGTTAGAATTAACAAGAAAGCACACATAAACACATGCCTATATGTGGATAAGTTGAAAAATATAAAGCAAGGGGTTATATAGGCACTAACCCTATATGGTGGGATTCTGGGTGATTTTAGTGTTCTCCTTTCTGCTGGACTCCATTTTACAAGTCATGTTAAATGAAATGTATTACTTTAAAGGGCTTTTTAAACGTCGTTTTTTTTTGTGTTTTTTTTTTAAAGTCATACAAGACACAGTCCTTGTCCTCAACGAATCTCTGGTGTTTTAGGAATAAACGATCCTGGTGGGGAGAAATGAGGATGGCTGGGTTGCCTGCTGATAACCACTGACACCACCTTTTTCTTTTCTTATCCAGCTTATCAAAATCCATGTTCTATGTCAATAATGTAAGAAGTGGAGCCTGCATTCTAAGAACATTCCAATAAATAATTTGTTCAACTACATTCTGTGGAACTTAGCCTTTTATGGGCTTGTCAATAACCCAATCCTCCATTTAAAAATTTTTCAGGATAACAAGCATTTCAATTTCCAATAAGCATCTTTACAATCGAATTTTTGGAATATCACTCAGAAATATGGGAGGAGCTTACACACTTGCCTTAGCGTATGATAATACTAATGAATGCTTATTGTGTACTTACTGCATTCATTTCATTTAACCCTGCAACAGCTCATGCAGGAGATTTTACTGTCATTCCCACTTTACAGGCAAGGAAATCAAGGCACAGAGATGACAAAAGGTCCTACGGTCACCAGGCCCAAGCAGAGTAAGGTTCAAAGTCAGGCAGCCCAGATCCGCTTCCTGCACCCAACTTTTTCTAGTCTAACCCCTGCCAGTTTCCATGGGCCACGGATCTTGCACATAAAAGGGATTTAAATATTTTGATGATGATAGGCCCAGAAAAAGTGAGCATATTTCAATTTTTTTGAGCAAGTAAAATGAAATCTTACAGCTGAATACAACTGCTTCCATCCAATTAAATTAAAGGCAGTTCTGCACAGGTGTCTAGGAGTCAGCAAAGATTTTTCTGTAAAGGGCCACAAAAGTAATTAATTTAGGCCTGGGGGTCAGATGGTCTGTTGCAACCACTCAGCTCTGCCATTGTAGCATGAAAGCAGCCACAGACAAGAATAAAACAACGGAGCACGGCTGGGTTCCAATAAAACGTTGGTTATAAAATGGGCAGTGAGCAGGATCTTGTCTGCAGGCGGTAGCTACCACCCCTGATCAATACAGCTGGCAAATCCAAATATAGCTGTTCACACTTAAAAGCAAGGGTTTAGGGATTTAACTACCCAGATATTTGGTAAAAACAAAACAAAACAAAACAAACACACACACACACACACACACAAAAACCTCTTATGGTAAATAAGAAACAGCACAGCATTGGGAAGAACCGTCCAAGTGCCTCAGAATAATGCATCGCTCGATACATACCGGGTGCGTTGAAATCTCCTAATGTTGAGACAGGAAGTCCCTGCACAAGTATTGCTGAGTAGGTACGGGTGCTTCTAACCAACAGTCAAATGAGCAGCGTGAACAATAAGCAGAAGCTACTGGTGTGAAAACTACTCTCCCCGTGCTTTGGGGGTTAAAATCCTAAAGGTGCATTACGAAGGTTGCAAAGTCTCCACCTGTCACGGTCCTCCACAACACCATCCCTTCAAAGGCGCCAACAGCCAAGTTAAACTTGCTGGCGCTACCAACAGATTTTACACAAATCTTCGCACGTCTGTGACCAACTCCGCAATCATTCCACTAAGAGAGCTTTACCTAGCTGCACCAAACAAAACTCCCGAATCCTGTAAGAACTTAAGTGTCACAGTTCTCTGTTTATAATGTAGTCAACATGCATTTGAATCAAATTTCCATTCTGAATTTTTAGAAGTCCCATAAAAAATGGCATCTGGCAGCCCGGCTGGTGTAGGTCAGTGGTTGAGCATTGATCTATGAACCAGGAGGTCAGGGTTCAAGTCCCCGTCAGGGCACATGCCCAGGTCTCGGGCTCGATCCCCAACGGGGGGAGGAGGACAAGCAGGAGGCAGCCGATCAATGATACTCTCTGATTATTGATGTTTCTATCTCTCTCGCCCTCTCCCTTCCTCTCTAAAACCAATAAAAATTATTTTTAAAAAAGGCATTGTTCTAGAAGCCAGTGCAATCAAAATACCCCAGCGTCAGTGTCCTGCTGCCCTAGGCCCAATGCTGACACTTACGTGGCCGTTGGCTGCATATTGATTACGTGAAATGCCAGGAAAATAATCCAGCATCATCTTTGCCCTTCCCACAGCCTGAACCGAGGGACAAAAAAGTACACCACCACATTCTGAAAGGGTGAAAATGACGTGAGCACAAGGCCTTCAGGTGAATCTTCTTTTTTGTTGTTGTTAATCCTCACCCGGGGATATATTTTCCCATTGATTTTGTTAGAGAGAGCAGAAGGGAGGGAGGGAAGCCGAAGCGTAGGTGGGGAGAGAGACACACGGATGTGAGAGAGACACACTGATTGGTTGCCACCCACAGGCACCCCGACCCAGAGCTGGGGATTGAACCTGCAACCCAGGTATGTGCCCTTGACCAGGAATTAAATCCTCGACCCTTCAGTGTGTGGGCAGACACTCTAACCACTGGGCCACACTGGCCAGGAGCAGATGGGTCTTCTTACACCAGGACTAAAGCCACGTTTTCCTGTGGACACTGTCACCGCATTTAGAAATGTCCAAAGGAACCAATGAAGGATACAAAAATGTAGTCGTCCATGTATCTCTTCTTCAGGTTCTCCACGATGGCGTTCTCGGTGATCTTGGAGAGCAGGACCATGTCGTCCACACCACTGTGCTTGACGTTGTGGCTCTGCCAGTGGTACCGGTAGGCCCCTTTGCTTCCCTGCTGGTGGAAAACACGCAATTATTAGGGTAGTGTATTTTCTCCTGGAGTTAAAAAAACAACTGCCACTCACTTCCCATATACTCCTCACATCAAATGCGGCAGAGCACAGCGAACAAAGATTTTGCTATCGATCGACCTGGATTCAAGTTTCAGCTTCGCCACCGACAGACTAAGCGAAGTGGGGAGAAGTTACCTACGCTCACTGCACCACTTCTGCTTCTCTTTCCTCTCATTTGAAAGATGGGAGAAATGAGACCCACTTTATAGAACTGTTATAAGGATTAAATAAGATGACATACGTAAAGCGCCGAGCAGGGTCTAGATAGAGGATAGCACAATAAACGATCGACGGTCTCCCATAATTCCCTCAACCGCATTATTTCATCATGTTTATCAATGGAAATGAGCAGTGAAACTTCCGAGACGTGTTCTGCCAATTCTATGACAGAACTCAGAAGTGGAAAGGATGTGTGCCACACACTGGCTAGGTCACATGATCCTCATTTCCCCCTGTAAGCCAACCACGGTCAACGGAACATTGGCCTTCTACATTCAAAACATAAGCTACGTTTTGATGACCGGTCACTGCTACATTAACGAGAAAAGGGACAGGAGCTAAAACACGGCCCAGAACATGCTATGGGCAGAAGGACCTCATCTGGCCCCGTGGACTCCTTGGACAGAGAAAGCTGTGGCCCTTATCTGCTTATCGGAGTTACAACTCAACACCCGGAGTGGCTTCTGAACACCTGTGGCCGGCAGGGGTTCCTTTAATTTGGCATTTGTGCAGTAGAATTCCCCCTCAGGTTCAGGCCCGCGGTGAGGGGGGATGGGAGCACCGTGGTGGCTGCACTTGGGGAGGTCACCATCCACTGAAGGGCACCTAGATATGGGTGGATATGTTCATGGGTCAGCAACTGTCAATCTATAAACACAGGTAAAATGGGTGTTCCCACAGCGGGAGACTCCTTTGTCCTGGGAGAGGCAGAAATAACTTCTTGGAGAGGGTGCCATTTGATGACTGGAGATTGGAGAGTTCTCCCTTCCCTTTAAACCCTGCATGCATCCTGCTGGACAAGACTCAGGGCAAACTCGGCTCTTTCTCGGGAGTTCACTTTTGGAGGAGTTTGGATAAAGGAGAGAAGGATTCTGAGTAAGGGTTTCTAGAAAGGCTGCCTGATCAGACGTCAAAAGGAGCAAGAGGAAAGGTAATAGGAGGCTCCTTGAGAGAAGGGGGGGGTAAGGAAGGAAACAAGACGGACGCCATTCTGCAATTCACGTTTAAAAACGATCTGTGTTCTCTTCAGGAGACATGGGCCCTTGGGTAAAAGCAAATTCTAAGAGGCTCCGGGGAAAGCCGTTTTAAAAACGCAGCCAGGGCGCTGGCTTGGGCTGCAAGCTGGGGCCCTGCCAGGCCTGCCACCCATGCTGCCGTGCACAGGGAAACGGTTTATACGATATATTTGGCTTTCTCAGAACCACATGAGGCATCAGTTCTACAAAATTACCTCGACCTCACCGCTCCTCCTTCCTCTTGCGGCAAAGCAGCAGGAGGAAAAGTATGGCCACAGCATGACTCACGGGGCCTGTCGCATGTCCGCGGTGCCCTCCCACCGGATGAAGATTCCTGGTGATGCCCCCTCCTGGGCTATTCTCTCTGGGCGCCCACAACCATTACCCTGCATGGAAAACTGAAGTTCCAGAGTAACTAACCAGAGGGTGTGTTTGTGTATTTGCTTTTAACCCCAATAAAATATTCACCTACTTCAAAGAGGCAAAAGATGTCCTTTCCCCTTTGGATAATGTAAGTACAGTTGATCGAAACAGAAGAGCTATTTATAAGCTGTTACTCAACTGCGAGAATGTGAATGATGTTTACAACCTTGACCCCTTCCCTTCCTCACACTCCTGATGGGTGGGCGGGGGCAGAACTGGCTGCCCTGCATGGGGGGGGAGGAAGGGCGGTGACAGGGACCTCCCATGGGGTGAGGAGGGTCATCTTCCTCAGGTGCCAAAGGCCAGGTTAGCAGGCTGTCACCTCAGCAAGTGCAGCTTCCTGCTGTGCTGTGGGCTGCGACTCCTTTTAGTTTTGGTCACTTTTTAAACAAGGAGGGACTGGGAGGTGTTGCACTTCCCAGCAGTCCCAGCTGAGCCAGGCGTCGCCAGAGGGGAGCTGGCGTGCCAGCTGAGCAATGACCAGGAAAGTAACAAATCATGAAAATTATGATGACGCCGATGAAAAGTTATTCTCCCCGCCCCCAATGATTACAAATGACAAGGGAAGTATTTCCCATTAGACCAGTGGTTCTCAACCTTCCTAATGCCGCGACCCTTTAATACAGTTCCTCATGTTGTGGTGACCTCCAATCTCATTGTTACAAATTGAACATAATTAAAGCATAGCGATTAATCACAAAAACAATATGTAATTATATATGTGTTTTCCGATGGTCTTAGGTGACCCTGTGAAAAGGTCATTCGACCCCCAAAGGGGTCGCGACCCACAGGTTGAGAACCGCTGCATTAGATGAAGCTTGAGTGCAGACCCTCTCGGGTCCCCATGTAATGACTAGGATTCCGTTTGTTAAAAAGCAATGGGCTCACACACAAGTTCTAGAAACCGGGGCGTGCCCACATCCACACAAGGGCCTGGCTTGTTCCTCCCGTCTGGGAGGCGTCCCACACTCGGGGGAGGAGCCCGGCTCAGGATTCGCTGCTCCCTGCTGTGTGCTGTCCAGGGTGGGGACGGGGCAGAGCAAAGGTGAGTCTGCACAGAGGCCAGGACTGTTCCCTCCTGAAAGCCGACCTTCACTGCAGCGCCGCATCTCAGGGCCTTAGCGAGCACTTTCCCTCCCAGGCTCACCCAGGAGGAGGAAGAGAGCAGGCCCTGGGTAACCACAGCCTTCACAGCCCAAGAAGGGAGGCTGTGTAAACACAGCAGGCCCAGTGCTGGGCAGGGCCTGGGACGGTGGTCACACATCTGACACTCCTGAGGAGGAGCAGACTGCAAAGTATTTTCAGACAGCGGCGTGGAAATGGGCACCGAAACCTTAGTCCCACAGACGGATATGCATCCAGTTAACTACCTACCAATGAGATTCACACCCTCTTTGCTCCAGCGTTTGCATTTTTAGGAATTTACTTCTAGATACATCAAGATCTATGGATGAGGCTGTTCCCGCAGCAGAGTGTGCTATGGGGGGAAGTGGGCACAGGTCGTGGATTGAATATTCTATGGCCTGCCCTCCCAACATAGGAGGGAGGTGCAGTCCCTGGGAGGGACCAGCTGTGCTGACAAGGGAAGATCTTCAGGACACGCCCACTCATGAAAATAGCAGTCAACATGTGGATTAAGTAAAGAATGACCACATTTGTCGAAAACTTTTAAGAGACACTTTATAACTGTTGTCTTGAAAGATGCACAAAGCTCTATTGGGGAAATGGGGTTTTGGGAGAAGGTGACTTTTACCCTCTATTTTAAACTTTTCTGCCCAGTTTACATTAAAAAAAACACAACCATATGCCTTAGTAAAATTTAAAAATAGATGAAAACATTGAAAATGATGCCAATACAATCAAGCATTTTCCAGGGGTGGTGGCTGAGCTGTCCCAAAGCCTGGTTCTGTGCAGGTTCGAGGTTTGAAAGGTGGGCTGGGAGGTGCTGTCTGCAGGAGAAGATAGCATGTCTGGGGTGATTCACTGGTCCAGGAGCTAACAGGCAGCAGAAGTGATTTACAGAAAACCTGGGGCTAGAATGTTACGTTAGGAGCACGTCACCTTGAGAAGCAGACGAACCATATTCCCCCTGTGGAAAGTGGGCCACGGTCACCCTGGCCTGCCATACAGCTGAGCTCGTTTACTTTTGTCCCCAGTGAGTCATGACAGGAAAGGCACACAACCATCTGTTAGACTTTAATCTTTTAACTGACAGTCTGGGAATTCTACCTTTTGCAGTTCTGCTATTTGACTGGGACGAAACCCTTACTTCCATTGCAAATGATGGAGGAGAGATCATCAACCATAAATATTTATTTGTCTCCTATGTTACAGGCTCAGCAAACCAGCATTGGGTTGACAATGCATTTCAACTTCATGGAACTAGATCCATTCCCCTATTATGGTGATGTAAAGATGTGTGTTAGAAGCACGTGTGCGTGTGTGTGTGTGTGTGAGAGAGAGAGAGAGAGAGCGCTGAAGTACAGCGAACAAAGTGTGAGGAAGGCGTGTTTCTGGAAGAGTGGGGGGCAGTCAGTAGCCAACCAACACCCTGCCACTCCTCAACCCTTGGGGTAATTGGAACTGACACTAAACCCAGAAATGTGTGCCGATGCTTGACATGGTCTCATCTAATTCACACACCACCTGCAAGACACGAATATTAATCCCTCTGTTACTACTGTACAAAAGGGTGAGGTTGAGGTCTGGAGCTATAATGTACCAAGCTGACTCTCCTTGCAGGGGCTTTGTGGGGTTGGCGCAGAGTGGGTGTGGGTGTGTGTGTGGGGCCCAATGAATGTAGAAGATGCGCTCATTTGTTTCATTCATGTATATGTGACCCAAACAAAAGTTCAATGTTTGCAGGACATTTCCACACACGTCTCAGTTAATCCCTGCAACAAAGGGACAGAGCTGAGACGCCTCATCGGGGTTTCCGGCTTCCTTTTCTTTGCTCCTTCTGCTCCACCACATCTAACTTCCATTGCCACCCCTCCAGGGGAGAGCTGGTTTTATAGATGACAAGACCAGAGGGCAAGGTGTGGAGGGTACACGTCAGGCTGGCAACACTGTTTTGACTCATTGAGTGGGGAAGGGAAAAAAAGGTTTGTAAAAAAAAAAAATAACCAGAGTTAAGGTGTCCCAGTTTTGTTTTAATTGCATAGATGATGCTATTTCTGTAAAAAGATGTCTCTGCATGGAGATGTGGTTTGTTTATGTCTAAACAAATTTCTACATGTTTTTTTTCTACTGAGCATAAGCTTACAAAAGGTGCACACATATGT